GTAGAAAAATTCCCTAAGGTTATCATTGCTTATATTATTACAACTGGAAAGAATGCTGAAGTTTCGCTCTTTGCATTATCATCCTCACATATGAGCTTAAGTCAGTTTTGTTTTCCTGTTGATTAATTAAACCGAAATTTTCGGTCCCTATTGACATGTCGACTCCCAGTGCGGGCGCTTCGACAGCGTCTAAGGATGAACGTGATGTTATTCGAGGGGTGAGTGACTAGCAGTGGAATTCAGGTTGAACATCTCGTCTTATTTGGAACTTGTCATCTGGATGCTTTCACAATCCACAGGGGGTAATAATGTCCCCACTGGGAACTCGGACTCACCACCCTTCGTTCCAAACGCCACTTGGCCATGAGAGCCACCTCTTATTCAGAGCGTGTCCGTTATTATTTGTTTAAGTCAATTTTGTTTTTTCAACTGAGTGGACCAAGACGTTCGACCTCTGTTGCTGACGCTTTGTTGTTTGAAACAATGGGTGCTGAGTTCGAATCTCAGCGGGAATGTCATCGCTCACTAGGGTTTCAAATACATTCAACTGATAAGTCATGAATAGGGCGAAACGCTTGTCACTATCCACCAATTAAAGTTCAGGAGATGGGATTTATTTACAAAACTTCTATTCTATTCTAAGAATGACGACCTTGGGCACTTATAACTCTACCGTAAACACAGACGTACAATCCAATATCTTGCATATTAGTATGTTTAAACATGAATTTTATTAGAAAAATTTAAAAATCTTAAAAGCAGGCTGTTTTAGTTGAGCTTTTCGGTTATTTAGAGTGTCTAAGAGCTCATTTCTTGGGTTATCTGCAGCACAACGAGCATGAGTATCGCGTATCCACAAAACGTATGGGACAACTGCTTACGACTGGCTACACACATGACCTGTTTAGAGTGGTTTTCGAAGTTGTGTATTTAAAAGCCTCACTGGTGTTTATTGAACATCTCAGAGTGAGTTGTGATGTAGGATTTTCGGAGGTCGACCGTTTCTAAGCCCCCGGTTCTCAGAGTGGTCGTCCCAGGCAAGTAACTCGCTGCTTCTACACTCCTATGCACCAACATTACGGCTTCACTTCCAGACCTCCAACATAGTTTAAATGAGTTGTAACTTTTTTTAGTTTAACCTTTATTCAGCTCAACTTTCTGGCCTAGTAGGAAGTGTAGAGACATTCGTTCTAGCCAATTTAGCTTGTTGGGTCACTGCTATCTGTTAGCACGATTACCACTACTTCAAGGTGACAGCATTTGGTCGAGGTTACATGATCCGTTCGTGATCAATAGATATATTAACATAGACCTTGTTTACCACTTTTCCAACATAGTCCTAGTCACATATCAATGTAATAAATGCACGTTTCTAAGAGAATATGAGTTATACTAATCATGTAAAGCCTTTTATTATTATTATTGCTCCCTTGGGTTCCTAGTGGAACATAGGGCTTCAACTGCACGTCTCCATTTTCTTCTGTCTTCTGCAATACTTTTCGCCTGCATCCATGTTAATCCATATTCTTTCAACTCCTCTTCACACGATCTCCTCCATGTCACCCTTGGACGTCCCACACGCCGCTTCCCTTTCGGGTTCCACTCGAGGGCTTGGCGCGCGATGTCACCCAGCGGTCTCCTCAGCGAGTGTCCGATCCATCTCCACTTTCTCCTGCATATTTGTTGGGCGATTGGTTCTTGCTTTGTTTGTTCCCATAATTCCTTGTTGGTGATTCTTTCCGGCCATCTGATCTTCAGTATTGAGCGAAGACAGTTGTTAATAAAGGTCTGCAACAGGCTGTTGGAAATATTCTTTGTGACCCGCCAAGTTTCTGATCCGTATAGAAGAACTGACTTTACGTTTGTATTGAAAATCCGAATTTTGTTGGTGATGCTGAGTGACGAAGATTTCCAGATTGATTTCAGGTTGATGAATGTGTTTCTCGCCTTCCCGATTCTCGCTCGATTTGACATCCTCGTCCATTCCGCTCCTGTAGTTGAGACAATGCTCCCTAGATAAGTGAATGAAGTAACCTCTTTCAAATCCCTCCCGTTGATGGTGATTGACGTTGGATGTTGTTGCTGTTGTTGTTGGTTGGTTGGTTATTTTCATAACCTCCGTCTTGTCTATGTTTACCTGGAGTCCTGTCTTCGCTGGCTGCTTCTTCGACCAGTTTGTCGGTTTTCGCTTGTAAGTCTTCGATTGTGTGTGACATCAAACATAAATCATCCACACGCGAAATCCAGGTCTTCTAGGTTCTTCACGTCGGTCCAGGATATTCCTGTCTTCTCGTTTCCCACACTGTCTGACGCATAATCCAGTCCACCACAATTAGGAATATCATTGGTGATAGTAAGCACCCTTGTCTGACTCCTGTGTTTACTCCAAACGCCTCGCTGAGTCTTCCGTTGTGGATCACTTGGCAGGTGCCGTTGTCGTACAGCTGTTGAATAAGGTTGATGAATATTTGGGGTACGCCATAGTACTCGAGTAATTTCCAAATTACTTCACGATCAACGCTGTCGAAGGCCTTCTCAAAGTCTATAAAGTTGAGGTAGAGGTTTGATTGCCATTCCATGCTTTGTTCTGTGATGATGATGCGTAGAGTTGCAATTTGGTCAGTACATGATTTGCCTTTCCTGAATCCAGCTTGTTCTGGTCGGAGTTCTGTCTCCAGTGCGTCCTTTAATCTCTCCAGGATGATGCGACTCAGGATTTTACTTGGCGTCGATAGGAGCATGATTCCTCGCCAGTTCTTGCAGAGTCCAAAGTCGCCCTTCTTTGGTAGTTTCACGAGGTAACCTTTCCTCCAGTCAGTAGGCACCTTTCCCTCCTTCCAGACCTTTTGCAATAATGGAGTCAGCATGTCTGCTGTCGTCTCTGGGTCTGCTTTCAGTGCTTCAAGGGGTATTCCATCTGGTCCGGCTGTTTTCCCAGCTTTCAGAAGTTTGATTGCGTTCAAGACTTCAGCTCTCGTTGGAGGATTGGTGTCAACTTGCAGTTGTGTGCGCGTTGTTGTTGGTATTTCTGGACGGGTTGCAGGTGATGGTCGGTTCAAGAGTCCTTTGAAGTGATCCGCCCATTGTTTAATCTGTTTTTCTTCCTTGGTAATGGGCTTCCCTTGGCTGTCTTTTATAGGTTTCGCTTGTGTTGGTCTCTTCCCGGATAGAGATTTGGTTATCTGATATAGTGTCCTCAGGTCCCTTTTGCCTGCTGCCTTCTCAGCTTCAGTGGCCAGGTTGTCGTAGAATCGTCTTTTGTCCTTCCTAGCACTCTTCTTCACTTCTTTGTCCAATGCTTTGTAAGTTGAGCTCATCGTCTCCTTCTCCTGTCCGTCCTTGCATTGAATCATTTTCTCTTTCACCATTCTCCTCTCTTCTATTAATTTCCAAGTGTCCGTTGAGAGCCATTCCTTGTCTTGTCTCTTCTTTCTTCCTAGAACCGTTGAACACGTTTCGTTGAGAATCGCCTTCAGAGACTTCCAATGTTCTTCCACGCATGATTCTTCAGTGATGTCGCGTAGTGTTTCCTGCTTTGCTCTGACAGTTGCAGTGAAAGTGTCTTTTGTGGTTGTGTCCTTCAGTTATTGAGTGTTGAACTTGCATTGTGGCCTATCCCCAGCTATCCTCGAGGCTTTTAGTTTCACCTTGAAAGTCCCTTGTACTAGATAGTGGTCTGAACCCACATCTGCTCCTCTCCTTGACCTTGTGTCCAGTAGGCTCCGTCTCCACTTTCTTGAAATTGAGATGAAGTCTATTTGGTTCTTGGTGTTTCCATCTGGTGAAATCCATGTCGTCTTGTGTATATCCTTGTGTTTGAACACACTGCCACCAATCACCAAATCATTGAAGGCGCAGAAGTCTGAGAAGAGTTCACCATTGTCGTTCATTTCACCGAGGGCCTCACGACCCATGGTGAGTTCTCTTCCTGTGTTGTCTCCTCCCAGCTTCGCATTCATGTCGCCCATCAGGATTTTGATATCGCCATTTGGGACGTTGTCCATTATTGCTTGTAGTTGTCTGTAGAACGCCTCCTTCTTCTCTTGTTCTGAGACGTTTGTAGGCGCATAACATTGAATGACTGTAACTTTCCTTCCTTTTGAGTTGAACCTGGCTGTCATTATCCTGGAGGAGATTGGTTCCCACTGCATGAGAGCTTTGGTTGCTGTTGGTGACATCATGATGGCCACTCCCTCGGTGTGCTCATGGTTGTCCTCTGGGTGGCCGGAATAGATTACTGTCTCTCCAGTAGGTAGTTGGCACCTTCCAGTTCCGTTCCATCTGCTCTCGCAGATTCCCAACACTTCTATTCTGTACCTTCTCATTTCAGCGGCTATCTGGGCAGCCTTTCCAGTTTCGTACATTGTGCGAACATTCCAGGTACCCATCCTTACTTTTGCTTTCATCGAAAGAAGGCGAGGTTTGTAAAGCCTTTTAGGCCATATGAAATTCAGTAAGATGAGAGGATTTCAGTTTTCCTGATAACTCACTGTATGTCAAGGGTCAAAATCTATGGGCAGCCTGTTTTCATCTAATCCAATTACTACACATTTATAATTGAATTCCGCTTGTTAGACATCGTTATCAACCAGCATCAATTAGAGAGACCACTCAAAATCGTGGAGGGCTGGAAGGCTACTTCGTCCTGTTTTTGGACTCCTTAGCAGTGTGCGCCAACAATCTCGCTAGGGATGAAACCTTAGGTCTTCAAGTTACAGGACAAAACTTGTTGACCGTTCAATCACTTGGGCCAGAATTCAGTAACTCGTCAGTTCTATCTTCGTCAACTCGTGATATATCTGCCCAGTGCTTTGTGTTGATTAGTTCGAGACAGTAATGGAACTCCAGACCACACCTGTGATTGGCCAGCGTTCTACCACTGAACCACCGAAGCTCCACCGATTGAAATTCATTGAATCCAATTGCCATAATCTGAATACATTTATAAGTTGAATGTTGATTTCTAATTGTCTTTTCTTTTACTCTCTCTAAAAATTCAGCTCCTGACTTACAACAGTTCGGTGTAACAACAATATCAAATATATCCAGTAATTCTTCCAGTCTATGGGTTCATACAATATTTGCTATTGGATTTTTTCTCTTGGCATTTTTTCTAATGCAACATTTCTCCAGGCAGTTTCGTCGGGAATCGAATCGAACATTAAATTTTGTAAGTTGGCTTGTTACTTTTTTGTGTGTTTAGCTTTTGTCAGAAAAAAGTGCTCAGCTCTCTCTGAGTTACCTCATGCATTTATTCCCGTTGATGAATTTGAATAAAGCAAAGACAATAGTGGTTTGAGCAGAGTAATATGGTACTGTCATTTATTTCGTTGGCTTTTCATCAGTTGCTTACAGCCTAAATAAATAATGAGGTTTATGTACGGAAAAGTTTTAACATACTTGAAAATTTTACGTGATGTCAGTTGACAGAAAGTTCTCGAATTAGTGAACAGTGCTCAGAAAATTGTGCTTATATAGTTTTTACAGAGGCAGTTCAAGTCTGAACAAAATAAATATATGCAAACTATCGTAAAGGAGTGACTAATAAATTAGGTAACAATGTACTGAGTTCAACTCAAATCATAGAAACAAGAGACAAGTAAAATTACAGACTATAAAAGTGGGGTGAGGTTAAAGACAGAGATTACGTAATCGAATGAGAGAATAAAGACATCCAGTTATCAGGGCAAAAAAAGACTAATAACTGCTTCTTTCTGAACACATAAATCTGGTTTCAAGCGTTTGATAGAAATTGCTTCGGCAAAATTGATGAGAATCGAGCTCCTTTGTCTATGGATAATTTTATAGGATTTCGTGATTTCCACCTCATGAAGTGTATCGAGGAGATGGTTGGTAAAATAGCGCTATTATAATAGTTTGTTCACTGGAGACGTAGGCTTTTCGGCACATGTTCAGAAAATCGGAGGTGTGCTCTTCTTCTGTTCTCCCTATGTTACTGCTCCCAAAGGTACACGTAAATTTGTATACTCAGTTGGAGTTAACATTAGAAGGGTATCTGTCGACTTTTGACTGTACCAAAGAGTATTTTTTTCGATGGATGGTTTGTTTTTACACACTACCCATCCAGACATGGAAAAAAAGAACAAACATTTCAGTGAAGAATCTCTCTCTTTCATTCACGTAGTTGTACAATTGCAGTCATATTTAATTACCTATGTATGCTTAGTAGTTTGGTACCGTGTGAGTTGGACATTAAACATATAACAAGCAAATAATCTGCAGGACTGAAGTTCGCTCAACTTACTAAATTGCGTATAGCTTAATAGTCTTTAAGGATAATAAGTTTAACTCATATACTGTCGTGTGTTTACAGGATTTCATCATGGGCTGATATAAGTTAGAGAACCATTGGAAAACTAACTGGGAGTAAGGGACAGTTGTTTCGTCCCACTTGTTTGGGACTCTTTATTAGTACGCACCCACCACGGGGGTTCGAACCCAGGACTTCTGGTTACAAGGCGAGTTTGTAGACCATAAAGCCACTGGGACCTGACCCGATCCAATGGCCAGCCCATGAATTCCAACTTCTGCCAATGCCTGATACGGTGCGACCACCAGCACATGTCATGACTGGCGAGTATTTGTCCTCACACCCGACCTACTGTACCGTACTTGCCCCCAACTTCCCACTAGAATCCCCAGGTAAGCTTCTCACTGATATTTGACTGTCGTATGTGTTAAACATCCTGACTGAAGATTATGAAGTTGAATGAAGTAGTGCTAATTCAATAGAAAACTAAGGGTATCTTTTTATTTATATACTGAAGTTATAACCGAAAAAACACATAGTATTAAAAAAAAGTAATTACCTAAAATAATCGAAGCTTATTTGGAAAATCAAAACAAAGATTGATTCAAAATGACTCAGAGCTCGAATTATTCCAGGGAATTGTGTATATTTTCAAAAATCACATTGTTCCAGAGTAGTTGAAACATACAAATTGTAGTATAATTTAGCTGGTAACTCGATATTCAGATGTATGTATCAAGTTTTTCTGTCGCTTTTGACGTCTGATTTAATCCATGGTTATTTATTATCGGTAGGTAGCGAGGGGAGGAGGCAGGTAATAAAGTTTGATGTGGTAACTTCATTGGACTTTTGAATTAGCTATATATATATTTTTTCAAGCGGTGGTTTATAGGGATATGATTGATAACAGATTTGATCACACGCTGAAATGAGTTAGAGAACCATTGGAAAACTTGGGAGTACCAGACAGCTATTTTGTGTTAGTTTGAGACTCTTCAGCACTAAGCACTCATTGGAGTTTGGACTCAGGATCTTCCAGTTATAAGGCGATGTTGTAGGCCACTCGTCCACCGGGTACTAGGGGTACTAGGGTGAAGCAGCTCTCCAGTATTCCCTGGTTTTCCAATGGTTCTGATATATATGTATATATATTGATAGCATCTGTAGCTTGTTGTTGTATGCGTTTGATTTACAACTTGTGGGTCAATACACATTCAAAAGACTTTTTATTTATCGACGTTTCACCATACAGATATAGTATCATTATTTCTCAAACGATAACTGTGACTCTTTACCTAATACATAGAAAAGGATATGGTTGTTGACACTTTTATTTTCGTATATCATATTATTATTATTGTTCCCTTGGGTCCCTAGCGGAACATAGGGCTTCAACTGCTGCACGTCTTCACTTGCTTCTGTCTTCGACTGTACTTTTCACCTGCATCCATGATAGTCCATACTGTTTCAACTCCTCTTCACACCATCTCTTCCATGTCACCCTTGCACTGACGTCCCACTCACCGCTTCCCTTTCTGCCTGGTTCCACTCGAGCAGTGGCCTGACGCTCGCGCGATGTCACCCAGCGGCCTCTTCAGCAAGTATCCACTAAATGTCCATCTCCACTTTCTCCTGCATATTTGTTGGGCGATTGCTTCTTGTTTTGTTTGTTTGTTCCCATAGTTTCTTGTTGGTGATTCTTTCCTGCCCGGCCATCTGATCTTCAGTAGAGAGCGAAGGCAGTTGTTGGTTGATAAAGGTCTGCAACAGGCTGTTGGAAATATTCTTTGTGACCCGCCTGCCAACTTTCTGATCCGTATAGAAGAACTGACTGACTTGACGTTTGTATTGAAAATCTGACTGGATATTGTTGTTGATGCTGAATGACGAAGACTTCCAGATTGGTTTGAGGTTGATGAATGTGTTTCTCGCCCTCCCGATTCTCGCTCGATTTGACATCCTTGTCCATTCCCGCTGCCTGTAGTTGAGACAATGCTCAGTGCTAGATAAGTGAATGAAGTGACCTCTTTCAAATCCCTCCCGTTGATGGTGGGTGATTGGCGCTGGATGTTGCTGTTGTTGTTGTTGGTTGGTTATTTTCATAACCTCCGTCTTGTCTATGTTCACTTGGAGTCCTGTCTTCACCGGCTGCTTCTTCGACCAGTTTGTCGGTTTTCGCCTGTAAGTCTTCGATTTTGTGTGACATCAAACATAAATCATCCTTGCGCAAAATCCAGGTCTCCTTGGTACTTCACGTCGGTCCAGGATATCCCTGTCTTCTTGTTTCCCACTCACTGTCTGACGCATAATCCAGTCCACCACAATTAGGAATATCATAGGTGATAATAAGCACTCTAGCATTAAAACGAAAACGGACTACTGAGTAACTTAGTAGTTTTTCAATCATTTATTGTTCATTGTTTCCACCGTTTTCTAGTTTCTGACTACTGTTTACGAATGTTGACAAGTGTTCTTTATTTCTTCTAGACAGGGATTTATGTAATTGTGTATTTGATGGGTTTTAACAATTAATCTATTAACTTCGTTGTTTCTGTATTGTTTGTATATATTTTTTAGTCAGATAGGACACTAATGATTTGGGGGATATCAAGAACAAATATTTCTCGACCACTCATTCTAAGGCATTTTGCGTAAGTTATTAAATTTCTATTTTGACTAGTTAGAAGTTTGATTACGCGGAGAACCATTGAAAACTAGAGCGAATTTGACAGCTGTTTCGTCTCAATTTTAGGCTCTTCAGTTGTAGGCACCCATAGCACCTCGTTAGGCATTCGACCAAAGCTGCGAGTAACCGCCTACAAGATCAAATTACCTGAAGTGGTAATCATCAGTGGGATCTACCAGGCTGGATGTGAAAATGAGTACTTGCCGCTAATAGTAAATGATGGTGACGCCTTGCCAGAAATTAGAATTCGTTACTGATTGTATGTTGCCCCATGGCTGAATGGTCGACGGGTTAGCCTCTTAACTCGAAGGTTGTGGTTTAGGTCCCATGTGGGATGCGTACTCTACTGGATCTTCTCAAACTAGAACGAAACAGCTGTCCATTTCTCGCTGGTTTTTCTAGGTATTTAACTGGTGTTTGTTCATGATCGAAAATCCGCATTGAAATTAATTTGAATCCTTATAAAACTCCATTAGAGAAATAGTGGGACACTGATATCGGCTAGTATAAACTCCCTAATACCTCGGCTTCTTGGATGAACATGCATGGATAATAATTTTTTGGTTAAAATATAAAGAGGTTATTGTGAAAACGAGAGCTCCTTTGGGATTATGTACTAAAAGCAAAACGTTCCAAAGTGCCGGTTAAACTTTGTCTATTTTTCCTGATCTGATGAAACTAGAATAACAGGCTTAAACTTAACACATGTCGGAGTAGTTGTATTGAAGGTCAGATTTCTGAAGGGGATTCTGCGTAGGCGCTCAAAACACACTGCAGACAGATTAACCAGCCATTTGCACTAAATAATGGGGGATATCTAAAAGAAATTATTTATTTCATTTATTTAGGCAGCATCATTTCAACTAAAGGCAACAGTATCAATGACAGTATCAAAGTCAGCCAGGATCAGAAAAGTCATGCAGACCTTCTTTTTTTATTCCTTTGTGTTCCCAGTAGAAAATTGGGCTTTAAACTAAAGGCGTGAAATTTCAGTAGCAGTGGTGTTTATTTTTACAGGATGACGTTACTAGCCTCATGCCCTACCCTCTGTCTTTACCAGTCTTATTACTGGCTCAAGGAGGTTTTGAAGTGCGTCGGCGGGGGTGGTCGGACTCCGGACCACATGCGTGGTCGGTGAGCATTCTACCTCTATGGTACCGACGCAGACCTTCATTAATCTAAAGTCACTGTGGAAGTCTTCTGCACTCAGCTTAACAAGGAAGATTTCGATTTTCAATACTAATGCCAAGTCAGTCATTGCTTCTGTATGGTTGAAAGATTTCTCATCTCACCAGAAACATTTCCAAAAGGCGATTGCAGACGTTTATCGACAACTCGGTAGTGATGATCAGATTACCGTTTGGAGGAGGAATAAGCACCAATGAAGTCTGGAAATGAACCAACGAAGGAAGTATCGCTCAACAAATATACTGAATGAAGTAGAAGGAGACCAGTGGCTGACATACGCTCCAAACTATCAAATGAAACCCAGATGAGAGGTGACGAGTTGGGAGCACGTTCAAGGGAAGAGATCGTGTGAGGAGGAAATGAAAGCTTATGGGTTAATCATGGAGCTAGCTAAATAAGACTACAGAAAACAAAATGAAATGGAGTGACTGACTGACCGGTTTTAACGCAGAACTTTGCACAGATATGCAGTAGTTGAAGTCGCCACACTCCATGTAGCACACAAAGCTAGAAAAGTAAGTAGAAACAGATTCAAAAGAGAAACAGATAATAAACAGAAGTTGGAAAGGAAAAAAGTAGTAATATGGAAGAACAATAGAGCTTTATTGGACATTCTAAATTACAAAGAGTGAATGCAACTGCACCAACCATTGAGAACGATTTTGAGCCACATCACCGACTCTCTCCAACCACTGGTGTTTACTATCTCAATGACGCCAACCAGGAAGCTAATCTACACATTCTTACGTGGATTTGATTGACTGATGATGGGGTCATGTTTCGGTTTGACTACCGCTAGCTCTTTTCCAACCTGAACCTATGCCAGTCAACTAACATTGTGCGTTGTCGACGGCGATATCTGAGTGTGCATGAGTAACACATATCGTAATCATATCACTCGGTGTACCTTCACAACCTCGTCGATTGCTTTCCCATCCTTACCTATTACTTGACGGAGGCCTAACCTCAATATTGCTCACCTTATTATACCATTTAACATGGGAGATAGAACGCAGACACCTATGATCAAAGATAGCTGGCCTTTTCGTATTTTCCACTTTCAATGGCCATGTCTCACTCACAGCCGTAAAGGAGAACAAGGCGAACTGCTGTTGTGCAGTAGACACGGCCTTTGGTTGTCAGCCGGATATCACATCTCGATGAAATGGAGTTGCACTGTTCCACTCTGGAAAACCAATGAAATAATATTAAGGAGCTAAATAACAGTTAAAAATCCGTCTAATCATACTTAGAATAAAAACACTTTTCACACATGACAATAACAAAATATGAAGCAGTAAAATCAACGGTAAAGAATGAAGTCCACTATAATTGATAGAGAACTGTGAATCATTTTTTGTTGTTATTGTTGGTTATGTTGTCATCATCACATTAGTGTTGAAAAACATGGATCAAAGTTTTCATTGAAGTTTCATTTCTTGCTAAACATGTTCAGTCATAAAGCAAGTATAATGTTTGCTGTTCAAATAGGAATAGCTTATATGTAGTAATGAAAAAAGTAATGAAGAATGCATACTCATCAAATAACGCATGTACTTTGAGATTATTCAAACAGAGTAAGTAAGTAATTCACAATTACAAAGAAAAAAAAATGGGTAAATTAATTACGACACTTCAGTGCGTATAGTCATTTCATCACACACACATACATACATACACATACATAAGTACATATATGTGTGTATACAGCATTATAACGTTATTCACGATTAAGTATGTTTAACAAGTCAATTTTGATGCAGTTTTTATTTGAATATGCATTGTTAACATAGTTCACTTGAGATTTGTTTACTCTCTCTCTCTACACACACACACACATACACACACACTAATGTTATCTCGTGTGTATTTGTGTGTTGGCTCGTAAAATCAATAAGGGCGCTACTTACTCTCTTTCTCTTTTCCTCATCCTTTTCTGTACTCATTCTAGACCATATGGTATGCATAGAAGTGTGCTTACATTCCCCTTTACAGGATTAGTGAAGTACTTCTATATTAGAGTATATTACAGTCTATAAACTGTTTTTTATTACTTATTTACTTATGAGAGGTTTTACACATTTCTAATCCTTCTGTACACATTACTTTATCCATAGTATCATTTCTCCTTCATGTGTAGCCCTTAGTAAGTAGTTTTACTGCTCTCCATCGGCTTATAGAATCTTGTATACAGTCTACTTATCTGTCCAACTGTTCAACTCTTGTAGCTGGCACTCAGTGAAGATCAAAACACATGTCTAGATGAAGTACAGCTACCGGAGCCTGTCCTTGCATTCAACCTCTTACAGGTGAACTGTTAGAAGTAATTGATAATTTTGTACATCTAGGTAATTGTTTGACTATCGTTTGTTATATGACTGATGAGATATCTAACGGTACATCAAAGATCTATCACCATCACAATGTTAGCCTAACTATCAAAAGTCATATTTAGAATGGTTTCTTGGTGTTATTATTGCTATACATCTGTGGAACTTGACCTCCTCAGGCTGAGGATGTCCGTTAACTCAGTAATAGATTGCTATTATCTGTGTAGAATTGGTTGCACTTTCATGCAAGTAATTCTGAGGTTCGAGTGTGTGTTTGAACACAATGGAAATTGTCTTTCAGTTAACCTTGTCATCTTTGAATACCGGTATCGATGGCTTAGATATCCAGTGGCTCCCATACCGTTCGCTATTTTACAGCTCTTAAACTGAATGGAAAAAGAAGAGAGGTGGTTAACCTAAACCATGGATTGATGGATAATGGTGTAAGGTTAGCATTTATTGGTGTATCACGACTCTATGGGGGGTGGGGTGCGAGAGAGATGATGCAAATGAGGAGCTTTAAACGCTGGTAGATATGTTCAGGAGTCGTAATTAGTCAGTGGCTAACATGCAGAAATTTCCTCTCTTCGTCCGTCTGTGAGAGTTACATTATTCAATGCACGCCTCTTTGAATGCTCCCCATCAGTGCGCTTGCCTGTTTTCATGATCGTGTTTATCAATCACTCTGTCTTTTGCTTATGTTATGTTTTTTTATTGTTTTTATGTGGTGCACCTTTTGGTGCTCATAATATATTTTGTTCTTTGCTTACTGTCTGTTTAATCTTTTCTTTTTCCCCTCACAAAAAATATACAGTGAACTTTATCCTGACTGTCCAGTTGAAGATGTGCAAATTTGTTATGATATACGTAAATTGATAAAACTTGAAAATGAAAGGTAAATTTTTGGTATTTTTATTTTTTACCTGCATGTTCCCCAGTGGAACATAGGGCTCCAAGCTGTTGGCTTGAAGTTTCCGTAGCAGTGGTGTTTATTTTTACGGGATGGGATTGCTAGCCTCATGCCCAACCTTTCCTCTTTACCAGAATTACTTCTGGCTTAGCGAGGTAAAGGAGTGCGTCAGTGGCCGGGGATCTGTATTATTAATTATCCTCTAATGACAGCAGAGGAGTTATTTTTGCAAACCTTGTATAGTTGAAATTATGAGATTGTGCAGAGATTTGGAATAATTTTTTGTGTAGATTTCATTGTGAACCAGTATCATATAGTGAGATAATTGAATATCAGGAAGAAATGGACAATTGTTTCTAAATATCAATCTTCGGCTTTTCAATGGCTGCTGGATGGATGTCCTAAACTTGTATTGATTACTCATGACCTGTAGAATTGATTATATCCGGGTGAAGGGATGCTCACCGAAAGGCATTGGTTGAAGGTGGCGCTGTATCATGAATTGAAGAAGTCAGAATTTCATCATGAACTGACATCGGTTAGAGCATCAATGGAAAACCAACAGGGAGTACTGAATAGCTGTTTCATTCCAGTTTGGGACTCTTCATAGTATGCACCTCTGGTTACAAGGTGAGTTCGATCCAATTGTCGGCCCATGCATTCCATCTTCTGCCTATTCACGATATGCCGCAACTACTCATTAGTGGTGAGTATTTGTCCTCACACCAGACCTGCTGTACCGTACTGGTCACGGCTTCCAACTTTAACCCAGAAGGTCTTGGGTCCGAACCACTGTGGGTGAGTACTGTGAAGAGTCCCAAACTAGGACGAGACGGCTTTCCAGCACTCCCTGTTGTTTTTCCAATGGTCCTCTAACCGAAATCAGCTCATGGTGCAATCGTGGAACCGATCAAATCCCTGCAAAGCAACACTTGAAAGTTATAATTCATGGATCATCAAATTCTCCTGCTCTCAAATGGCTGTCAGCGTAACAAGCCAGGTCTCGTACCCCTGAAAGTCCAGGGTTCGTTACCAGCTGGGGTAATGGGTACGCACTGCTTAAGAGTCCCAAAATGGAATGGGACAGATCTCCAGTATTATTTCATTATGATTCGTTCGCGTTTCAAGTGAAACATAAACCTTCAACATCTAGCTCCACTACTGACTATACGATTTCATGTCGTCCTAATACAATCGCCTCTATGTCACTCTTGGATGCCCTCGTTCCAGCTTTACTCGAGGCCTGCTTGGCATGTGATGTCACTTGACAATCACCTCAGAGTGTAACTAAATCATCTCTCTTTCCTTTAGTATATTCGTTAGGCAATAGGTTCTTGATTTGTTCATTACCAGGGTCCTGTTGTGATGTTCGTTTTTTTGCTTACCAAATGTCTTATTGATGTAATGTGAGATGATTCAACCCATGAAACTACAAATCTGCGTCGTATCCCAGGATTGAGATTACCAGCTCTAGTGATCGGTGTAACCGATTTACGAGGCTTAGTTGCTAGTCTAGTCATCACAGTGTTAATTCCATATTACCAAAATCCTCAATAACAAGACATCTTGTGGATTACGGACATGATATCGACGCGGCCAAGTCATTCACCATTGTCAGCAAACAAAGAAACAAGAAGATGCTTGCAATTGCAGAGGCTTGTGCCATACGAATTTATAAGCCAGCTCTCTGTATCTGTCTGTCTGTCTGTTTTCGACATAGAACTTTGCACAAATGTGCGGAAGTTCAAGTCGCCACACTCCCTCCTTGTAGCACACAAAGCAAGAGAAGAAAGTACAAGAAAAGCATAATAGAGACAGTGAGCAGAGGGGTGAGACAAAGGAAGAGTAATAACGAAGAACAAAACAGTTTCATTGGAGATCATAAGTCACAAGGAGTGGATGCATCTGCGCCACTGAGAACGGTTTTGAGCCATGTCACCAATTGTTTCCAACCATAGATTTTTACCGTCCCGAGGACCCCAGCCTGGAAGTCTACACCTTCCTACGTGGCTTAGACCAACTGTTGTGGATTTCATTGACTGATGCCAAGTTTTTGTTTGACCGCCGCTAGCTTTTTTCCAGCCTGACCCTAGCTGTAATGTGAGCTCTCTGTATAAAAGGAGATGGTCGTGACTCTGAATCTACCATGGTAATACGTTTTACTTATTATTCTCTACTTGTTATTACTATTATTCTACCTCTTCTTATGATTATTATCGTTATTATTATTATTCTTGATTCATTTAAAACTATGCTTTATTAGTAAGATTATCTTAACTCATTTCAACAATAATATTATTATTATTATAACTATTACTATTGATATTAGTCTGTTTGCAATTCTCGTTATATTCCCTAATGACTAATTGTTTATATAAGTGATGTAATTGAAGCGTAATGCAATTTATCTTAATTTTGATCTCTCATACTCTCTACTCTTATCTATTTGAACATGACCTGAAAAACATTCACACCTGTCTTTCTACATGACTAATTCCATGGAGTTTGTTTACTTATCAGCCTTATATCTCCCAATGTAATTTCAAAAGTATATATATATATATCCATGTACGTGGAGTATTCAGCTGACGAGTTCTACCGAAATTTGATGAATTCATTAAATCCTGCTTTATTAACCTTTATTTCTTGTTTTAAATTCCATATTAGTTTGTTTATCAGATGTATCACACATTGAAACAGTATTATTTACATTTCATCCTATGTCAGTAAAAATAGGATTGGTGAAATGTTCAAGTGACAGAGCACTAAAACTAAGTAGTACCAAGGAAAATCTAAGACATGAAGTGATACACATAAAAGGAGCCTTGAAACTTGATAATTACCCGGATAAATTAATCAAGAAATATGTAAGGAAATGTAAAAATAAAATAAATAATGATAATAGTGATAGTGATAATAATAATAATGATAACAATAATAATAATAGTGATAATGATAATAATATTAGTGACGACACCGACAATTAGGAATCTAAATCACTAGTAATTCCATACAAGGAAGGAACCTCGGAATTCTTAACAAGGCAGGAATAAAAGTGGATGGCATTCAAACCAACCGCAAACTCAATTAAAAACAAGCTTTGTTGGTTAAAGGATCAGTCCTGTGGAGCCAATAAAACAAAACAATTTTGTTTATCTAATACCCTGCTGGAATGATTGTCAGGTCAAATACATAGGCCAAACCAGTAGAGCAGGGGCAGTCAGTCAGATTAGCCGAGTCTAAAAGCCTGGCAAAATCTAGATTAGTTGACCCGGATAAGATAAGAAATCTAGAGAATAGTTCAGCTATACCACTCACCACATGCAATTACACACAATCATACACTATAGGATGGATGGGATAGGATGACAGTTTTAAAATCTATTGTCACAGGGTGGAGTGAGAGATTGATAACAGAAGCTTTGTTTATCGAGTCAACTGCAAACACGTGCGGTAGGAATGATCCAACACCTGTCCCAGACGGATGTCTGGAAAATTCTACAACAAATGGGAGAAAACAAAGAAAACTATAAAACTCAAGCTTCGAAGTTGTGTGATCATAATCGATATGATTATAAGCAATAAATTTTGTTCGATATGTCATCCAGTAAGTAATACTGTTTTACTGTGTGATACGTCTAATAAACAAACTAATATCGAATTACTTACTATCACAGTGCCCAAGTTTTACACATATCACGGTGTTAACGTTTTGTCAATATTTAATTTTAATATCGGGCAATAGATTGTCTATGTCTTATCGTATTATTGTTCATTGATCTCAACTCATATTTCAATCAACAGTATTTGGCTGTAAATTTTTATGAATTAATTGTAAAGAAAGCGCTATTGTTTACCTCATCTCTTAAGCTATTTATATATGTATATAGCATGATTACCAATGTATGAAATTAGTTTTCGCTTACTGTAAATTTTACTTAAACACTCCTGGTGTTTTTGTATACCCTTATCACAACAACATTCTGTTCAGTTAGCGTATTTCAGATGATCTATATACACTTTATTTTTGTCCATATGATATTGTAGTGATTAGTTTGCAATAACTTTCTAAACTACATTGAGTGAATAACTGGCTAACTGACTGGGTTTCTATGTGGAACTGTTGCACAGAAGTGCAGCAGTTTAAGTTGCCACACTGCAGAAAGCACACAGAAGTAGAGAAAAGAAATTCAAAAGAACTCTCTATGATGAGCAGAAATGTGAGGGAGAAAAAAGAATAGTAACACGGTAAGCTGTGAGGACTCAATGAATCTGGAAGGTCACAAAGATTGAATGAATCTCCACCAGTGAGAACGATTTCGAGTCATATCACTATGCTAGTCTCCATCCATTGATTTTTAGCATCTCCAGAGTCCTAACCACATAGTGTATACCTCCTTATATGGCTGGTACACATAAACCAAATATCGACAAATTCATAGACTGGAAAGAGGTGTTAGTTAGACCAGAGTGTTACCGTCCTGTTTTTCTGTATCAAACAGAATCTAACCAATCAAAAAAATCCCTACAAAACCAATACTTGAGAATCGATGTGATGGTCACTAGCGACTGGCTCTATTTAAGCAGTTACCTGGGGTTCTATTGAGAAACCGTGACCAGTAAGGTATAGTAGGTTAAAGGTGAGGCGGTAACTCATCGAAGAAGACATTACGAATTGGAAGAAGTTAGAATTCGGGGTTGGCCATTTGATCGGGTCCTATTGGGCTAATGGTCTATGAACTTACCTTGTAACCAGAAGTTCCCAGGTTTGGACTTCAGTTGGTGCCTACTGATGAAGAGTCCGTAAATAGGACTCCCAGCTGGTTTTCAATGGTTCTCTGACTGATGTCAGCTCATGATTAAATCCTCCAAAGAATGCAATCGTCCATAATTTTCACTTTGTGTTACTTAATCAATAAACACGTTTCAGGTCAATAGGTCATTTGAGATTGGTGGCACATTTTATTTTATTTATTTTTGATTACAGGTTGATTCCACACCAAATTTTCGGTACAAGTATGGAATTTTCAGCATGGATATCGGTAGCCCAGATTTTGCAGGCCAACCATAGATATCAGGTGTGCGTCGGCAGGGGATCGAACTCCGGACCATTTGCATGGTCGGCGAGAATCATAACCACTGTGCCACCGACGCACAATATATGAATATTGTTGATTGTCAATCGCCTGGTCATTTACTAGGAATTATAACTTCCAGTTTGATGTCATAATAGTATTGATTTCGGGCTTTTTGTGATTTGTCATCACTGTAGTTATCACTTAATAATAGATTTAAGAAAGTAGTCTTTTCCTTATGTTTATGCAATTCTTTCCCCTAATGAACAGCAGAAAAAGAATTAGACAACGCATGTTACGTAATAGTTATAAGTATTGATGTGTCGAAATGATTGGATTAATAATAATAATACGTTGAGAAGGGATCAGATATTCAAGTTAAGTGTATGAATGAAGATAAACATAGACTATGTGGTGTGAAATGACCTTGTCGAAAATTAACTGAAGTAATCGCTACAGTTTCGACTAGGATAACACTAACTTGTACCTTAATTATACTGAATGAATTTTAATTTATAGATTTTGATGGCCACTTCAAATCATCAAAACTTTACAGCTCTTATGTAACATTTGGTACTTGTTTTGTTTCATCCACTTAATTAGTGAATGTTCAACTTCTGTTCTTAACTGGGGAATATTTTCTGTACGTTTTTTAAAATATAAACCAACAAGCTTGCAGACACCTGTAGATCTTTCCTTTCAACTCTTCGTGTATTCAATTACACAATACTAATTAGTGTTCAAGTGTTAGTTTATAGAGAGTTGATTAGTTTGAAGTTTGATCGCCGATTGATACTAATTAGAGAAGCATTGGAAACTCGGGAGTACTGGACTACTATTTCGTCCTGGTTTGGGACTCTCCAGTGTTACTGACGCCACACTCCATGTAGCACACAAAGCTAGAGAAGAGAGTAGAAACAGATTCAAAAGAGAAACAGATAATAAACAGAAGTTGGAAAGGAAAAAAGTAGTAATATGGAAGAACAATAGAGCTTTATTGGACATTCTAAATTACAAAGAGTGAATGCAACTGCACCAACCATTGAGAACGATTTTGAGCCATATCACCGACTGTTTCCAGCCATCATTGGTTTTTATCATCCTGAGGACGCCAGCCACGAAGCCAGTCTACATCTCCTTATGTGGCTGAATGACTAGCTTGAACTGGCTGTTGTGGATTTGATTGACTGATGAAGCCATGCTTTGGCTCTTTTCCAAAGTGATCCTTCACCCGTCGAGGAAGGAGATATCTGGGTGTGCATGAGTGACACATGTCCTAACCATCTGAATCGATGAGGTTTCACAACCTCGTTGATTGATTTCCCATCCTTACGTATCACTCGTAACCTAAATATTGCTCACCTTATTATACCACTTAACATGGGAGATAGAATGCAGATATCTATCATCGAAGACAGTTAGTCTTTTCGTATCTTCCAATTTGAATGGCCATATCTGCTAGCCAGGCATAAAGGAGGACAGAGCGAACTGCTTCTGGACAGTACACACGTCTTTTGGTCGACAGCTGGAAATCACATCTACGCCAGCGACGGCGTAAGTTGGCATACCCCAAACGAGCCTTCTCTCTCCGTGCTGTGATTTCGTCAGCGATCAACCTGTTGGGGCTGATGCAAGTGAAGTGGTTAACACTCTCTACCACTTCACTCCCTATGTTTAAGCATAGAATCAATGTAGTCCAGTCCTGTAGCAAGCAAGCATCATATTATTTTTGACAGCTGGAGCTAATCGAAGATTGCTGCTCTAGGTGTTCAGAACAATCTGCTTTATTTTTTCGGCCTCATTTGCATATCTTAAGTCAGCGAGATTATACCCTCGTAACAAATCGATCCCCGAGTCGCTGAAGTCAGAGTTAAGTCCATTAGAGCACACATGATGAAATTAAACATAAATGAAAACAGTGGTCATCCCTGACGGCGGATACACTTCTGACTGTCACCATTTCAGATGGCAAAACTCCATAGACTCTCACCTGGCTAACTTTATGAGTTCGAGTAGAGTGCTTTCACCAAAGCTATGTATTTTTTCGGCATTTACCCTCTTAATACCGATAATGTACCAAGCGTTTTCATGTACTTTGGGAAAGATTGTTTGTGTTTCTATATTTAATAGTTCATGTATCTATGTTTATATATATAAGTTCCTTAACAATAACTCTCTAATTACATTAAATTTATTTCTTTTCTATTTTTCTCCTAAAGAGATAGTCTTCGAACTGCATTGAAATATTCTATAGAAAGTTATGAACAAAAAGGTCGACGTCCACTTATCATTCCACGGTGTTGTGGTTGGATGTGTAAAAAGTGTTATAAGAATACTTTTTGTCGTAATTGTTGTTGGCGTGATACATACACTGAACAAAGTCCAGAATTCGCCTATCCTTCAGACGAAAGTCCAATACCATGGTCAGAGACAGCAGACACTGCTAGTATTCATCATAATAATAAGTATAATAAAACAACAGCCTTGACAAATAGTTGCTCGTGTTGTTGTGCATGCACACCAGCAGTGGATGCAATCGATTATTATGAAAGTAGAAATACTTATATTCAAGAAGAAATCGATAAAGAATATGATATTGCTTTTAAAACACCTCTTGGTATAGCATTTGTAACTTTCTCAACAAGATATGCTGCTGCACGGTAAGTTTCTGCGTTTCTAATAATAATAATATTAATAATAAAACCAATACTGGAAAATGAATCTGATGCTCACTAGTGATTGGCCCTATTCAGGTAGTTAACCTGGGGTTCTAGTGGGAGGCCGTGACGAGTAGGGTACAGTAGGTCGAAGATGAAGCAGTAACTCATCGACGAAGACATTGTGAATTGGCAGAAGTCAGGATTCAAGTACCATTGGATCGGGTCCCAGTGGCTCAATGGTCTACGAGGTCGCTTGCCTTGTAGCCAGAAGGTCCTGGGTTCGGACGCCGGTGGGTGAGTACTGATGAAGGGTCCAAAACTAGGACGAAACAGCTGTCTAGTACTCCAAGGTTCTCTAGTGGTTCTCCAACTGATGTCAGCTCATGATGAAATCCTCCATACAATAATTTATAATCTCATGCGTTTGTATGTGTATTAATTCATGAATAATCCCCATCCAGGCAATAATGAAAACAAAACACCTGGTTCAGCGAAGAGTCTCTTTTCGGCGGCGAATTCATTTTTTTAACTGTGCAATCGCAGATATATATATATATATATATATTTATATGTATGAGTTATTTTGTATGCACGTGTACATTAATTTTGTCAAACAAAAATACGGTTGGTTATGGTTATTTTTATCTAAACGGTTGAAAATTAGTAAATTTAGAGTAGAGTTAAGTAATACAAAAACTGTCAAGAAAATTGGGTGTTAATGAAACTAGTGTAGTAACAAAGGTGATGAGTTGTCACAACCACTTGTTAAAGAGGAGTTACGTAATAATATGAATAGTTGGATGATTGAGTTGTACTCAGGATACACACAGGAACGAAGTAGAGAGTACGAAATTATGTAAGAGTTCTAAATGAATACAAGAATTATAAGCAATGAAAGAAACAGGCAAACAAACAAAATCAAGTCATCGAAAATCTACAAAGTTGTTACCATGACAGTAGAAGTGGTTGGGTAATTCTCTTTTGTTTGCACAGCTCCGGTTTTTCTATGTTAATGGCCAGAGCTTCAGCGATACAAACCAGACGAAACCGTATTACCTTTGATAGGTTATTCTTGACTATGTAGATTACTTTTGAAGGAGGCGTTCGTTGAGATGGAATGATCAGTGTTAACCAGGTGTTCAAATACCGCACTCCTTATAGCACCACTAATGCCTTTTCGCAACTATGCTGGATAGTGTTCTTGAATCCTCTTGGACAGGATACGCGTCGAACGACCGATGTACCTGGCTCCACAGCAGCAGGTGAACTGATATATCCACATTGAAGTGGTAAGATGAGAGATAGTGTCCTTAAGACTGGCTTCTTTAGATCAGTTGGCGACTGGAGAACACTATTTTTAGCGTTGTTGCATGGAATGTTCTTCTCAGAGATTATGTAATCCTTCTCTTGAGAATATCGTTTGCTAATTCTCCTTTAAAATCCAAGTTCATGTGAAGTTTCTTTTCGGCGCAATTGAAGTTCCATTCCCCCGAATTCTCGGTTTGATATTTTTGTCAATGAATCTTGGTGGGTATCCATTTTGGATAAAGATTTCTCTCAAAAGATCAAAGTCGGTTTCTAGAATATCGGGACTACAGATACGTTTGACAAACTTAATGTACACATGCATACAAAATAAGTTATATATATATATATAATATATATATATATATATATATATAATTGTACAACTAAGGAAGTGAATTCGCCGAAGAGAGACTCTTCGCTGAACTACGTGCTTTTGTGTTTGTCTTACGAATATATTATGCATACTAGCAGAGTTGGAACTCTAGGTGATGTGAGCTTCAGATGTTTATTTATTTCATTTACGTGAACTCTGGCGTAGGCGTGACATCCGGTTATCAACCGAAGGACGTGTGTACTGCTCAGCAGTTCGATCCGTCCTTCTCTATGGCTCTGAAACATGGCCAATACGAGTTGAAGACATGAAAAGGTTGACTGCTTTCGATCATAGATGTCTGCGATCTCTGTCTCACGTTAGGTGGTTTCACAAGATAAGTAATGTTGATGTTAGGCGTAGAGTGTTGGGCAAAGAGGGAAAATCAATCGACGAGGCTATAAAGTTACATAGACTAAGATGGCTAGGTCACGTGCTGCGCATGCCTAACCACCGCCTCCCCCGACGGGCTTTGCTAGCTGATATAGGTTCAGGTTGGAAAAGAGCCAGTGGTGGCCAAACAAAAACATGGCATCAATCCATGAAATCCTTGACAGTTAAACTGAGTCAGGTAGGGAGATGCACACTCCCTGGTTGGGGCCCTTGGGACTCTAGGAATCAATGGCTGGAGACAATAGGTGACATGGCTCAAATCGTTGTCAATGGCGCGCAGATGTATTCAGTCTCTGTAATCTTTCATATTCCTTTCTACCATTACCCATTCTGCTTCACTCTTATACTTGTCAAACTCTATAAATTCTCTTCACTCATCTTCTTGTCTACCTCTGTGTGCTATTTGGAACGTGGCAACTCGAACTGCTGCACTTCATTGCCAAGTTCTATGTTGAATCCAGACAGACAGACAGACAGTTGGCGACTGGAGAACACTATTTTTAGCGTTGTTGCATGGAATGTTCTTCTCAGAGATTATGTAATCCTTCTCTTGAGAATATCGTTTGCTAATTCTCCTTTAAAATCCAAGTTCATGTGAAGTTTCTTTTCGGCGCAATTGAAGTTCCATTCCCCCGAATTCTCGGTTTGATATTTTTGTCAATGAATCTTGGTGGGTATCCATTTTGGATAAAGATTTCTCTCAAAAGATCAAAGTCGGTTTCTAGAATATCGGGACTACAGATACGTTTGACAAACTTAATGTACACATGCATACAAAATAAGTTATATATATATATATATATATATATATATATATATATATAATTGTACAACTAAGGAAGTGAATTCGCCGAAGAGAGACTCTTCGCTGAACTACGTGCTTTTGTGTTTGTCTTACGAATATATTATGCATACTAGCAGAGTTGGAACTCTAGGTGATGTGAGCTTCAGATGTTTATTTATTTCATTTACGTGAACGAGTTGATCAGCTTTGATGGTTAAATAGATAGACTAATCTGGAGAAAACAGCAAAGAGGTCTCTTTTCCTGACGTGTTTTCAAAGCTGTACAGTTGTATATTGAGTTTATGTATACAATGTTAATTGCCAACAAAGATCAGAGGTTATTTAGAACTATTCTGTCAAATCTTGACTACAGTTCAATTGAGTCAGAGAGTATTGTTGGTCATTATTTATTATTGTTATTCTTTTGAGTTCCGTGTAAAAAATAAGCCATCTTCTCACAAAACCTCCTCTATGTCCCCCTCTGAAAGCAAACACATCGTTTTCTATTCTAGTTCCACTCAAAGGCCTAGCGCCCTATGTCACTTAATGGTCTCCTCAGCGTGTGCCCGATCTATCTTGATTTGTTTCTTCATTTTTCTAGGATGATAGATTCTTTGTTGGTTCGTTTGCTACCAGATTTGTCTGTTTCTGATCACTTCCGGCCATTTTATCTTCAGCAAGGAGGTGGTGGTGAAGGAATCTGTTGATGGAAGTCTGCAAGAGCCTGTTGGAAATACCTTTTACGAGGCACGTGTCATTTGTATTTAAAATGCAGAATTTCGTTTCTAATGCTGTGATTGTAGCAGATTTCCACGCCGTTTTCGTAGCAATGTCTATCTGTCTATCTATCTGTCTTCTCTTTTTGATCTTGCCTTTCACATCTTCATTTAGGCCTCATGTAGTTGAAACAATGCTGCCAGGATAAGTGAAGAAAATGACCACCTTCAAATGTCTGGTCATTGTCAATCTTTCAGAAATAACAATATCTGACAGATGACAAATAATTCTACATGATCGAGGAGGAGGTTGACAACACTAATTAGTTAAATGAAAAATACTCCTAGACAACCAGTGTATCAGTTCAATTAGCCACACATTGACTCGGTAGAAAAAAGAGAACTGTGGTATTTTAATATTACAATTAGTATAAACTTGAACAAAGCAAGAATGACAAGTGTACGACGATAATAATATGTTTTCAAGTATTGATTTTGTAGGGATTTTGTTTGATTGCATGGAGGATTTCACCATGAACAGACATCAGTTAGAGAACCACTGAAAAACCTGGGAGTACTGGACAGCTGTTTCGTCCTAGTTTGGGGCTCTTTAGGTCATTTTTTTTGTTATTTCGAGGGTTCTTCTCAACTGGCTATAACCTGAACAAAAGGAAACAAATATAAATTGCATTAAAGATTTGACCATACTTTTTTGCAATGACCAGGTGTAATTGATACGAAATAAGCGTAATATAAGTCCAGAGTGATGTAAGTAGTTAAGTTATTAAGACTTAAAAGGTCTAACTATTTGTAGGATAATTAGAACCAATGTTCTTTAGGGAATGGAGTTCAGCATTTTAGGGTAGAAACAAAGTTCAACTAGAAAGAGCATAACAGTGTAATGGGTTTCGTAACTGCAGGAAATGGGTAGATTGAATCAAGCTCGGATAAAATGATACAATTTTTTAAACAGGATAAAAAATACAGGAGTATACATTACTCAATAAAATTAATGTACTTTGTAATATATGTTTAATCGTCAAGGCAGTGTAGAGTTCATTAGTGTCTCTTTCTGCGTACATATATTTGGTTTTAATCGTTTGATAGCGATTATCTCAGAAAAACACAACAAGTTTGGTAGATTTCTGTTGCCTGTCGATTATTTAGGTAGAATGCTTGCCAACCACACTGAGTGTTCGAATTTAAATCCCCCGAACAACTCACGTCTTTATCTTGCTAAGCCAGTAATAAGACTGGTAAAGAGGGGAAGTTGGGTATGAGGCTAGCAACCCCGTCTCGTAAAAATAAAGCACCACCGCTACCGAAACTTCAAAGTCCTATTTTCCAATGGGAACGTAAAGGAATAAAAATAATTATGATTGTCCATATTATGACCATTTTCAAACAAATGATGTACAATCATAATTGT